CTCAATTTCACGAGAACGTTAAAAAAAATTAAATCTTTAACTGGAGGTTATCCTTTGCGAATGTATACATTATATGTTATTCATTCGCTATGTATTTGCTTTATTTGGCAATAGTATTATCAAGTATATACGTAAGCTCTTGAACATAAACTGTGGCACGAGTTGGCGGGGAGGAGAAACGTACGCGCATGCGTTGTTTCTTAATGAAAAAAATGCGCTGAACTTGCTATATATACACTTTCTTCTGATACAATTTATTTTTTTTATTCAATATTTCTCATTTGTCATATTGCCAATCGTGGATAATATTTAATATTTTAATATACGAAAACAAAAAATAGAAAAAATAATAAGTGATATATAATAATCGAACAACAAACGACAAAGAGATCAAATTTTGTCGATGCTGTTACGTGCAACGTATCTGACTCGATATGAAAATTCAAGTAGTGGATCCGTACGATGTATCGGCCGCGGCCAGTGGTATTTTTCGTTGTTTCATTCCACTTAAGAGAATTCTTTGTTCATCGACAATTTACTGTTTTACCTATATTCAATTATAAATATTTTCCAAATATTTTCTCGCTCTTATAACTCATATATATTCGAATATTTATAACGTAAAATCTTTAATAATCGCCTCTCTTATTCTCATTTTTCTTTTCTTTTCTATCATCATCGTGGAAAATTTAAAAATTAAGAAACATCGATCCAATTTATTTATCTATTTTTTCACTTTTTTCCATTTGCACTCGACGATTTTCTATATTCGGATGTAACAATAACTCGAAATGAATTGCGCGTACATAAAATAAAATGATCTTGTACATTTCTTAATGAAGAAATAAAGATCCGAGGAATCTTATTTACAAATCGATACTTTCTTATTAATTCGAGATAACTAAATCATTCGTCAATCATTAAAAGTTGACAAAATTCATTTTCAAATTTATAAAAAAATAATCGTTTCAATATAACGTATAATTATACGTTACATACATCGAAAACTCTTAAAACATTAAAATTTTTAAACTGATCAGGTCGCGTTTCAATAGAATCGAAAAATATTATTATTATAAATTTATCAAAGAAGCATTTAAATTTCAGTTTCACAACGGATCTCGACATCTCGAAACATCTGTTCCAACTTAAACCGTTATAAATTATCGACAATAATTTTTTATTTTTTCTTGTTAAATTAAATTAAACGTAATTCTCGCCTCTCGAGCTTAAAACGCCAATCAAAAGAAGCCGATCGATCCGATCTTTTCTCATCGTGCGAATTCAACATAATTCTTCTAATCGTTATCGAAGAAATGTTTGTCGAGAAAAATGGAGAAACGGTGGAAGGATGAAGGAGGATAGAGTGGGAGGAAAGGAAGGAGGGAGGGGGGTAAAACTCACCAAACCGTCGCAGGCGGACAAGGCGACCTGGGAATTCGGGTGTCCCCGAATGAAACCCCGATAATGGCACTTGCTCGAGCTATTTTTTGGCCTGGTGCGCACGTGTACGTCTCGTTTCCGCCTTTCGACGACGAGCCCAGGCCCGATGAACTTGTCTACGGCGGCCAGCTCGATGTGGTACTCGTTACCGGC